TAGGGCAAATGCTTTTCTCAGTGTCACATCTCTCCTACAGTTGATGCTGGAAAAGAGAACTGGCTAGCTTAAGATGTCAAACTTAAGCTTAATCTTTTTCGTGTCTGTGAATGCCTTACTGTTTTCATTGTATGAATGTTTCCTAATTTCCACTCTTTGCTCCCAGTTATCAAGTAGAAAAGCTGTGCATTCCTGTGATTTGACTGACAAAAGGATATGCAGGTGCTAGGGTGTAGTGGAGAAGTTACGTATATAAAATGTCAGCAGATGGGCTTGTTCTTGCATAACATGGCCAACCTTGTGAATGATTATTCAACTGACCATCCATGTAAAAAAACCCAAACAAACAAACAAGGAAATAATTTATGTCATGTCATGTAGTTGCATTTTTCTTTATATTCAAGCAAATCCTTGTTGCAGTCAAAAGGAACACGACGCGACAATGAGTTTAGGGCATGATGGGCAGTTTCAGCACAAGTGGTGGCAATAACAAAACCTTAACAGCAGACTTGCAGGGTAATATTGCCATATAACAAAAAGGGAACAAGAGAGAGCCCAAAACAGATGATGATGCCATGACTGTAAGGAAGCGGCATGTGAAAGGCAGAATGAGAGAGGAGAGGGGTTATATTTTACACTAGAGAACAAGAAAAAGGAATAGTACTCTTCAGGTATAAAGTTCAATAATCTAGAATGACATTTTAAGTGGTTAACTTTGCAGTTAAACAGGTGAGTTTCGGACACACCAAGAGGTAGATGAAGAACGCATCAGCAGATGGCTGCTGGCACAATGCAGTCGTTAGTTTTGTTATGTTTGCAGGAGTTGACTGTGCAGGGATACAGCTGTAAAGCAGATAGCTGTTACTACTAAATACAAAAAGCTAAAGAACAAAGTTAGATGATACTGTGATGTAGTAACATGAGGTTAATATGAGATGAAGTGAAATACATTATGGTGCCAGACACCATCGTCTCAAGCTAGTCTGTTTAGATCTGGCAATATTTAGGCAAGATGGCTAGGGATGATGCTACTGGCAAAACAGATGTTACTGGTTCAGGAAGGAAATGTTCCAGTTTCAGCAGGGAGTCCCAGTGCTGGGACGCTGCTCCCAGCAAGACCAGAGGAAAAGCCTGGAAGTAGTCTCGAAAACGGCATTTTTCAGAGATGAAAACATTAACTACATTAACTGAATGTTACAATGATGTCCAGCTGCTGCTCAGAGGCATGCAAAAGGACAGCACAGCTATCATTTCTGCAATGGGGCTGACTGATAGGCAAAACCAGGCTTTTCTATGGTATTACTGTGGGCATTACTGCTGGCAACTGTGCCAAATCAAAGCAATGATCAGCTGAAAACTAAGATCTGTTTTCTGAGGCATAAAATTACCACAAAAAAAAGCAAATCTTTACCCAACTGCAATTCCTGTATGCCTTTAAATGAGTTACAACAAATGCCTGTTCTTCTGGCTGCTCTAAGCAGCAGGAATCCAACCCTTAATTTTGTGCAGGAAACACACACTCAGTTTAACTCATAGTAAACAAATGCAGTTTATCTCCGAAGCACTGTGCAAATGTCTTAATTTCTTTATGAACTGGTGCACTTCACTGGCACAAAATAGAAGCCTGCCAGCAAGGGAAGTTTTTAAAATGATTTTTCCAATGTGTTGTGCTCAGAGAAACAAGGGAACGTATCCATGCTGGTGTATACATTCAGTATTTGTATGTGCCTAAGCTCATTATGCTTCTGGTGAAACTCTGGATGTCAGGCTCTTCTTTTGGTTGCTTCCTTGTCCTTTCTTGTAATCAATTTTTTGTTGGTAGTGGTTTTGACTACTAGTCTGGGTATCAAAGATAGGGACAGAGAACAGGAATGTATTTAGATGTCTGTTAAAATCTTTCCCTGTTACAAAAGACATAAAACCGATTCGTCAATCCTGGGGATTATAGCACAAAGGTAGGTATTTTATAGTTTTAAACACCACAAAATACACTGATTTCCTCTTAGACATTAAGAACTAGTGTCCTTGGAGTAAGGCTTGCAGTGGATTAAAGTAAGGATCTGTGCTCAGCATGCGGCTTTATGTCAAATGGCAGTCTTACTATGTAAGTACATTATATGAGACTGCTTTGCTCAGAGGAAAATACCACGAAGTTACAGATGTAAAATTAGAATGTTCTTAGATAAGTCATCTCAAACTACTCCTGACTCAAATCATGTGTATGGAAGTACAGATCTGTGAAGGCATGGAATTGCCTCCCTCTTCAGGCACAGAACCTAGGACAGCAGTGAGATGAAGCAGGACAATCTGTAACACATGACTTGCTGCGTTCATGCACCAGCAATGCAGCACATGCAGGACCCACCATGTCCATGATACAGAGCCTAGGGGTGACCCAGGGTGACCTGGAAGGTCTGCGTTTTTCAGATACTTCCAGTGCAGTTTCTACATGGAAAACATCAACACATAACTAGTAAAGCCTTTGGAACATAATGGCACACAGTAACTTAACTGCATGTTCATTCTTACCTATGCAGAGGAGCCTGCACCTGCCAACTAACAAAACAGATGAAACTTTCTGTTCTAGAAATAGCAGTTTTCAAGACCTTCATCAGCTGTGTAGATAGATAAACTGGCTGGCTGCAGTATTCTACATCAGACATTATTAAGGCCTAACTTTGTAGCACTTTTTTGTTTCCACAATATCCTTTTTCATAGTGATTTCTGTGTCAGAAATCCATATAGGCTCTTTATGCCTTGAGTCCTGTGTGTTTCTTCAAGCAAGCTGCCTGCTTTCTCAGGCTGTGTTTCTGGCTAGACCTGCTGTTTCCAGGCTATGCCTTTTTACTTCCCTCTGATGTGAGGAATGGGCAATAGGGTACAGCTAATTCCATTCTAAAGGAGAAAGCAGCACAGCCAGCAGCAGCTGCAAACAGCTCCCAGCAAAGCTGAAGACAGAAAACAAAGCAGAGAAACTGCTGTCAGTAAAAGGGTATGTTTTATGTAACTTTCTGTTTGTAGCAGAAAGCACATGACCAGGAATGCAAATCCTCTGAGGCGTCAAGAGACTTGTCTAGCTCACATGCTCAACATGGTCCACCTTTACTGAGAAGAAGCAACTCCAGTAAGCAGCACAAGATACTAATGGTGATCCTTGCCTAACTCTACAGTTTTAGCTTAAAAATTTACAGCTAAAGGTAAGTCCTGAAGAGAATCAGTGACATGTGAACCAGCCGCAGGCTTCATGAAATAATCCAGTGTTCTGCAGTGGGCTTTGTAATGCTGTCCAAAGTAAAACTGCCACTGTGTTCGGAAAGGACTGAATTAGGAATGGGAGAAAAAACGACAAACAAGAAAACAACAACAACAAAAAAATCCAAAAAGCTTTATTTTATTTAGAGGGGGCTGTCTATGAAACAGAAGTAGAATGAAACCCACTTAGAGCAAGGATGTACTTAAATGAATGCCTATGCTTGTCATAGGCTTGTCATGTCTTTTAAGTCTTCATTTTCAGCTGTGAACAGACATTTAATGCTGTAACATTCCTGCCACTTTTACCAACTAACTATACTTACGAACAAACGATGACAAATGGGCAGTTTCCCTGGATCGTAGTGTGTTGATATTCAAGTCTGGATCAACATATCATTTGATAAAACATCACTTCCAGTAATAATCTGAGTTACAGTAAGTCTGGAAATGGATTTTCTGTTGTTTGCTATTTACTATAATTAGATTCTACTTCCTCTTCTCAGGCAGTTAATATGGAAACCTCCATGTTGGGGAACCTTGGGTAAAATGAACTTTGGTATATTTCATTTTTGTTCTGCTAAGCTTTCAGTAGGGCCTATTAAAAACTTAAATGGCACCTTGTGTGGGTCACTCTGTGAGCTTTTTACAAGATTCAGAAGGATTTTATGATAATGCTTATGTTATAGTCAGGAAACTACAATATAATGCACAGATATCTCCTGTTCTTCTTACTTCTGATGGATTATGGTGACAGTAACTATTTGAACCCAGCTTTAGCTTCCTTCTGAATGTGGAGCGTCACTCTATTTAGCATAGCAATGGTCAGATTAGCAACAACAGGCCATACAGGTCCAGATACAGGGCCAGAGCACCCACCTCTTTGCCATGTTTTAGGTTGTTTGGCATTTTATATTCTGTTCCTTTTACCAGTTGCTACAATACATGATGGATCACAAAGCTGTGAGGGAAATCAATGTTCAAGTTCATGCTCACATTAATACTGCTGAGACAGACTGGAACAGCTGTACCAAGCGACATAAACTACTGCTGTGCTCAGTCTTTTAAGAAAAAAAAAAGGTGGATAGTTTTTAAAGAACAAAAATTTGGTGCTGTTTGCAAATCTGTGAAATGTCTTACTTGACATGTAGTTTTAACAATATTGGCTATAAAGAGGCTTACAGTGCATTTGATTCCTGAGCATCTTGTGCAAAAGCATTATCCACCTCTGGGTTCTTTCCCTTACACAACGGTAAGGCAAAAAAAAAAAACCAAACAAAAAACAACAAGCTGGTTTGCTTTGCTGGCCATTGCAGAAAGACCTGTGAAATGAAGTGTAACTCTTTTATGAATGGGATCCCCTAGTAATAACATCTGTGAATGAAACTACATTAGAAGTCACTGTGGTATCTCAGCGTGTTCTTGGACAACTCCCTGTAGCTCTTGCTGCATTTGAAAGAAGTTGCCAAGTGTCCCATAGTTCAGGTATTAACACTGTGCACCTCAAGACAGAGGTCAGACAGTGCAGCAAGCTAAAGAAGAGCTGTACCATTTGACCAAAGTCACTGCTGAGGCAGGCTCCAACCACCAGAACTATAAAATGAATTACTGCATTCCATTTTTCTTGTTACTGTCCATTAACTAATGACTTTCAGCTGCTTTGCTCCTACTGCAAAAGCAGAACTGGGGTCATTCTTTTTCCTAAACTTGTAAATTAATGTTGAACCACTGTGCAACAGAAAGACTCGACATACTTGCAAAAAGCATTTGTTTTTACAAGAGTATTTGATGTAAAACGAGTGTACGGGTAAGTATATTCAGAAATCTGCAATTTAAATTCTTACTCTCTGAAAGGAACAATTAGGATGTTTTCTGATCAGTGGGGCAGTATGTGCCTAGAAAAGAAGAGCTATACTCGATATAATCACTGTGCAAAAGGAGCACCACAGGGGTATGGAAGACATTTCAGAAAGTGGAAGGTCTGGCATTTCTGGTAAAAGTTAACCTAAACAAGACAGAGAGAGAATACTGGTTTTGTGCTTTCTGTAGTTCAAGGATGATACCTGGTCACTTTTTACAGGTATTCCCCCTTCCAATTAATCTCCTGAGCCCCACTCCAAATCCTGCTAATTTTGTATTGTCTGTTTAATTTGGTATAAAGGTTTTAAACAAAACGTTAAGTACGGAATATAGTTTCATTGAATTTCAGGGATTATTCATGTTAGCCAAATTACTGAAGTGGGCGAAATGATTCAAATCAGGAGTCCCTGGCAGCTACAAACTGGAATGGTTGTTTCACCAAAGAGCAAGAATAAACCCCAATTTTTTGTACTAAAAAACAATCTAAAGCCACAGTAACGTGTCTATGTGTAGTTTGTTTTGTACACGTGCGGTCTTGGGTACAGTGAGCCTCTGGAAGACATAAATTCTGAGAAGTCAATGTTTCTGTTAGATGATTGTTTTAGCAGTCACATAATCTCTCCTTTGGCGTCTTGGGTCAAATAAATTCTCGTACCACCAGGGTTTAGTAGGAGATCTATTAAAAGAGTTTCTCTGTCATCTTTCCTGCAACAGAAACAGCAGTAAAAGTTATTATTCTGTCACGATAAAGGACTATCTGTGTATTCTTGATTGCCCAGCTTTCTAATTGGAGTTACCAGTAGAACGTAACTGTGGTTAGAGAGTTATAATGTTCTCTTTAGATTTTAGAGCTGCCACAACAAAGTCTGGAGAAAACAAAGAAGATTCACAGTGCAAGCACATTTGCTTGGTTATTAGCAGGTTACTCTGAAAATAATGCTGGCGGTCAGTTACCAGAGCAACACTGTGTGATATGCTACGTATCCACATACCTTCTCATCTCAAGCCAACAGTTGTCTGTATAGTACTGAGGTAGTTTTCCCACCTTGGGCCATTTAATGTTTAACATCAGGACATCACATAATGTATACTGATTCAGGTTTGGGGAGAAAACAGTAATATTTCTCAAAGGTTCTGACAAAAGGTACATCTTTTTTTGCTCTAGGGCTCGACTCCTGTTCCTGCTGAACTGAGCCAGTGTGTAAAATCAGAACTGATATCAGCTCAGTAGGCACCGGAGGACGGGTCCATCAACAGCCTGGAACAACAGCAGCAGCTGTATGTTGTTTCCAATTGGAGCTGCCAGAATTTCATGCAAACAACACACCGTGCTAACCTACAACTGCAGAGAGATCATGACAGCATCCATCAAAGAGAAAACTATGAAACAAAGCTTTATAGACAATTCCAAGTTAAAGTCACATACGTTTATTTACTCTTTTAGAAAAGCATGGTAACCAAATTCTTGTAAGCAGTGCCTTACATCTGCAGTCAGATGGAGAACTGGTAAAGTGCTGTTTATTCTCTACTGAAGCCAAGAGTCTTTGGTCCTCCCCAAGCCATCTCTGCCTCTTATCCTTGGTATCCTGCATCACACACATGCATTCACTGTAAATCTGCCCATTCAGCAGCAAGGTATCTCAGCCAGCAGACGCTCTCTGCCCTGCACAGGCTGACATTAAGCGAAGCTTCAACCCTTCTCTTCAGGTGTAGAACTTAGCCACTGTGAACAAAGAGGGAAACAATCACTGTTCACCAATTAGCTAAGCTCTGCACCTCGCCAGAGAGGTTCCTGTCTCGGTGTGGCTAATTATTAGAGCAGGTTCTTCCACAAGGCATCTGCTGCTTTCCTCTGTTGCCTTCCTGTTTCACAGACAGGGCAGATTCCACACTGTGCACAGATCAGGCAGTTACGCTGAATTTCATACGAGGAGCTGGTTATGGCTGTGTGGTAATCCCTGGCAATGTGATTTTAATCTTAAGTCACAAATCATCATGCCAGGAACCCAAACAACCACAACATTAAAAGAAAGCTGTGCAGTCACACGAAGTGTTGTACTCATAACAGTATCTTTAGATTTTACGTTACAGCTTACCATGCACTTCTAGTCTGTCTGAAAGGCCAAATGGGCAATTCTAAACTACTGCTAACACATATATCAACCACGTAATTTTCCCATGCTAGATACTGACCACCAGAAGCTTGTGCAAATTTTGATTTTTATTTTATTATTGAAGGAAATATCAAAGACAGTTCCTAGTACACAGTGCCAGAACAAACTGCATCTCCATGTTTCTGGCCTTCTGACACTTGAAGGCATCTACTAGACTAAAAATTGTTGAAAATTTTCTTGGCAAGCACAATTCTTGTCTATACAAAAGAACAAAATGGCTGTTCATAAACGAACTTGTTTTCATGGTATATATCATCTGCTATATTTCATATAAATAAAATAAACATCACAAATTCAAGTGTTCACTACAAGTGCTGCTACATGTACAAGCTTGAATGGGAGAAAATGAAGATTTCTGCTCAGTACCCGTTAGAAATTGATGATTTTGATAATTCAGATGCCTGAATTTTGATACCATAAATCAACTGTAAAGTTACGTGAACAACCAAGGCAACCAGAGTGTCAGTTGGGTTATATCATTAAGCAAAAATCTGAGGTATGCTGTACGGGAACAGACCTTCATACCAACCCTAATTGGCTGTGTGTTCAACATGCATGTACAGACACTGTAAGCTTACCTCTAATTATTCAAATAGACTGAGAAATGGAGAATATGTTTGCAAATTACCAGTTTATAGCCTGCAGCAGTCTTTACTTCATGAACATTTCTTGCAATTCTGCTTTTCTCTGGCGATTCCTTCCCCCACTAATTTCAGATTATGGATGACAGTAAGCAGTTTTTTCATGTTAAGGTTGCTCTTCTTACCTCGTAACCAGTCTTCAAAGGCCTCACTACCCTTAACACAAAACCATTTGAATTACCAGCTTGTTCTCACATGACTCAGATTTGCTTCCAAGCGCAAAGCTTCATGCGTCCATTGTATGACTCTGCTGCCTATCAAGTCAACACGCAGCTTCGTTAAACAGAAACGCTTCTTGCACAACTGCAATTTCTGTGAGCGGAGTTAAGAATACAGAATGGGAAACAACTTCAGGTGAGGCCTGGCCTGCTCTGGCCATTCAGACTTACAGTTGCCTCTTGTACAGTCCATTGCAAAGTTTACAACACAGCCACGCTCCACGTTCTCCAGCTATGGTCTACAGGTATCTAACCCACTGCTACAGCAGATGGAATTAAAAAATAGGAAGAAGAATTAAAAAGAAAAAAAAAAAAAGCAAGATACTTTTAACAAGAGTTATTTCTCGAGCCAAGCAGCCACAAGCTCTATGGTGTGCCAAAATTTATTACGCCTGCACATTATTTCAGCATGAGGCAAAGCCAGGGTGTTTAATCTAAAAAGAAAAATCACCTCTTCAGAACAACATCTCTGCCACCACTTTGGCTGAGGATGCATCCATATGTTCTCGTGCTGCAGCAAACCATTTACGTGCAAGTTCTTGTTGTTTCACATCTTCATTCACCATTAATTCACCATAGAGATACACACCCATTGCCTGAAAGAGGAACACAATACACAGGCATCCTATCACCAGTAATAACTAGTTAGCTGGTTTTCATTCTACTGGCCATCTAGTACTCATTTAATTAAAAACAAAACAAGACAATCCAAAACACATAAAAAATAGCATTTACTCTAGAGCATTTACCCTTCCCCTCAAACAAGTAGTTTTCTCTGGACCTCTTTAGCCTAAGGATGCTTGTCTGTATGCTGTATTGAGTGTGTAAGAACAGGATACTAATATAAGGGGTATATGTTATGTCGTGACAAGAAGATGCTTCCTTGCTCCATTTTTCTTGCCACTTTTGAAGTTGAAATCTGTTTTATTTTATCCACCACCTCAAAATATTTCCAAATGCCCCTTAAGAAAACAGTTTTGTCCTTCCATTAAATGGTTTCTGTCCAACTGGCATTTTTACACACACATGAATGAAGAGAACATCAAATGAAAACAGTCCACTCTAAAATTCCCATTTGGCAGTAACTGGATGTGAACTGAACTCAGTCATCTCTGTCTTTCAGACTCTTCTCTTTACATCTGAGATATGGCCTGAACATGCACAAATTCTGGCTTGATAAGGCAGCAGTCTTTTCCTAAGTACTCATTCTGGATATAGCATCTCTCAAGAAAGACAATGGGGCACCTGGAGCTGAGGTCTGGACCCCTTCGATGGCAGGTAGCAAAGCACTGTCTAACTTAACAGGGGATTGCCTTTTGTTCTGTTTTGTTACAGAAATTCAGTAAGTGTTAATCTGCATTTATCAAAATAGGATTATACATGTGACAAAACATTAGCAGGTTAGCATGCTGACTTTTACAGTTGTACTTACTGTTTGGACACTTGCCTAAGAGGAAAAAATTTGATATAACTGAAAAAACTATTTTTAGTACTATTCCGCACAATTTCTACCATTGCTGGTAAGCCTTAGAAAACATCAGCTTCAATAGGAAGGGAAGAAGTTTAGCAAAGACTGACATTAAAGGAAAAAGTCCCAGAGTGGTAGAAACCTGCCAGATTCCTTGCCAATCCCCTAACTGTGTGTTCTGCCACCCAGAGACCCAAAAGCTCACATTTCCAGCATCCGCAGCTGCACCAGGCACACACACACAGCTTCAGAGCTAGGCTCCAGCTGCTTTCATAGAGCATTTCAAAATGTTAAGAGTTTTATTACAAACAGGAATTACCTTCTCTACCCAGTGTTAATAATTTTGCCCCAAGCCTAAACACTAATAAGTAGTAAACACACAGAGTTTCTGCAGACCTGAAAATAGTCATATTTGTATTTTTTCCAAAAAAGCTAAATCTTGCACAATCAGTAAGGCCATGCAAGTGCTCTGATTTGAGTTGTAGTCACTCCAGAAGCTGGTTGTGCCATAAACTGCATGCACTGCTGGGGTAAGTAAATTAAATGAAATATACTGAAGATTAAATTAAAAAAAAAAGTTGCAAGAATTATGTCCCTGCACTGCAGGAAACATTAATCTTTATTTGGCACAGTATCTGTTCCAAACATAATGCAAGTCAGTATGTTTGGCTTTATGAACTCACGGATTCCCCCTCTACCACGGCTTCTACTATGTTTATCTTCATCCTTTCATAGGATGAACATATGCACAATCTATATAACTCCTTGTTTTCATGAAGAATGTTGGTTTATGCCTCTTTTTTTTTTTTTTTTTTTTTAAAGAAAGAGCATGCCAGGATGTTTGGCTCTTGTTTACTGGCTGAGATATAAATAGAAGGTATACTACAGAACTGGAAGAAAAACTGCAACAGTTTTATTGTGCTGTTGTGACAAAGCGTATTTGCCTGATATCACAAAAACCTCACTGGCTGTAAACAGCTTGGTTAGTTGTCAACATAAAAAGTAAAAAATTAGTATCTTGCCTAGACTTTGCACTATCTTGCTATTTTTTACATACATACATTTAAAATATTTAACAGCATTCTAGGCAGTGAATGGTAAGAGTTCATAGTGAATAAAAATAAATAAAGCTGAAACAGAAAGAACGAGGCAGACATGCAATTAGAATTGTAAGTCCATAATGCTGTAAATAAAATGCTGGAGAGAGGCCTTCATTCTCTGGATATATATCACTGTGCTGTGCTTCTCCTGGACATCATCTTGAAAACCTAAAGTCAGCACAGCACTGACTTCTTTGCACCTAGCTCGTATCTGTGCATTAATATTCAGAGCCATACTTGCCTTTATCATCCTAAAAAAGGAACCAATGCTGTGAAGTATCTTCCTAGCATCATTTCTACCTTACATAACATGGGAGGAGAGGAGACAATATTCCCTATTACACCACTTATCAGAGGATCAGCATGCTTAGGAGGGGTTGAATAAACTTCCTTGAACTACAGTGTTTAAGGGCAAAAGAGGCAAAATCTAAATACATATTTCAGTATTTGAAAATTTAAGCAAGAAAATGTGTTTAAATAAGCTTCTGGTTTCACACTAAAGAGTGTCAAAAAGTGGATTATTTTGAAAGGGCTAATTAAATGTAACTGACCTGATCTTCTCTGAGAAATTTTTCAACATCTTCATACCCAGGCACATACTTGTGTTTAACAATAAGCTCGCACCACCGATGACGAACCTTTAAGAAGAAAAAAAATATTAGAGAAAAACCCCCAAACTATATTGTATCTGCCCTGATAAAGGCTACATCTCTAATCAGTTTTGTTTCATCATCGTTGTTGGGTCTGGGTTTTTTTGTGGGTTGTCTCCCGATCCCAAGCAGCCAGGCAGGTGCCTCTCAACACTGGTCAGTAAGCCTGTCGGTGCAGCGCTCTGCACGTGTGAGCCCAGGCTTTGGAAACCCAGAATGCCTAGTGACAAACCCTGGTTGCAGGCACAGATCTGCAGCATCTTCACCTCCACTGTTTTCAGTCTTGATTTCCTTTCCCTTAAGTTAGGCTAGAGGTGGTTTCTTTTATACTGATGGAAGGGGGGAGGGTGAGATTAGCACTGGAAACATCTGGAAGAGACACATGATACAACTGATAACTTCCCCTATGTAAGTGTATAGTCCAAGGGATAAAAAGGCTTAAGTATAATTCTGTACAATATTAAATCCATGCCAAGGTAAGAGTTAGATATAAAACCATGAAACAGGGAGCTTTCGGTTAAACAAAACACAGTTGCCATCCTATCTTTGACAGCAAGAGATTTTAAGCACCTTGCAAAGCACTTAAAATGCTGGGCTGTTCTACCAAATGCGCATTGATGAAAACAGTTATTAACATACAGTAATGAAAAGCATGGAAATTTGCAAGCAAATCACAACTGAAAAACATTTTTAAGTAGGGTGAACATTAATTACATGTGAGTGTTTTTTGTTGTTGTTACGTTCAGATTTCTGATTTATTCTTAGCCACTTCTGAGGCGTGTCATCTTACTCTCCAGCAAGGCTTCCTCAGTTGTAAGCAGTGATCAGCCTAACATTTTCTATTCCATTAGTAGCTCAGTGCTGATTACAAAGGAAAACAGTTACATGCAATAAAACTCCTCCACCCTCGCAATCCTTCTGTTTCAGCCTTTGTTCTTACCATCTTTCAAAAGACAGGACACCCAATAACAATAACCTGTCACAGTAAAGTGTTAGCAGTTCTAACAGTTTGCAAAACCAAAGTCCAAATTGTGCTCATGTCGAGTAACTGAACATGTACCTTTTTCTGAATGACAGATTTACTGGTAACATTGAGAAGGGAAGCCAGAAAGGGAGGAAAGAATGTCACACTGAAGTATATTATTGCTCTTGGAGATATGGTATTTAAAAATACTTTCCTTGTCCTAGTCCTTGCCAACTTTTCATCTCAGGAAAAAAATGTCACAGACTTTATGTAATTAGATGTTAATCCTATTAGCATAATTAACAAGTGATAAATGCTCACAGGTCGTGAAGAGTCTGTGTTTGGGTACCTGATGCCTCTTTCCAGCTGACCTCTTCAATGAAAAGTTTGAACACCACTTATGGATGAAATAAAATACTGAGGGGTTTTGTGGCTGTGTGGAGTTTGCTCTCACAGCATGTAAGATCCTGAACAGTTACAGTGCAATGGATGGCAGGGAATGAAAGTAGTCTCTTGAAGCTTTCTGCTGACAAAATAAGGGCTGTTAAGACTCCTCCAAGTAAAATCTACAGAAGTAAATGGCTTTCCAAGGTTCATCTCACTTTGCTATAGATGCCCATATCCATAATGTAAACCTTCGAAACCCTGCCCAGCTGCTGCTTCTCCCTGGAGACATTAAACATTTCAATAGTAAATCTTCCCAGGCAATCCAGCTTTGCTACAGAGCATTTCTCATAATACCGAGCAGCTTCATGCCAGGACCAAACCTTCAAGGCTCAAAAATAAAGCATATGCCTCTCTCATCCACAGAATGAGTGAACCGAACAGAATACAAGCACATTTAAAAGGCTGTATATCTTCATCTGATACACATTATTCTGCACATACTTAAAAAAAAATCCTTATGTATTCTCATGACATGCATGAGAAACATAAGGAGAAAGAGACTGGTTACTCTTCTGGGATCACTGCTCTTCTATATCTCAGGGTCCATCAGTTACAGCACTTACTCAGGAGGTGAACCATCAGGTCCAGTTTCTGTGTCTGAAACTGGGCCATGAGTGAGAATATTCAATCAGCAGATTATAAAGCATTCTGGGGTGGGGCTCTCTTCACACCTCCTGATGAAGCTGGTTTTGCCCCTGCAGGTACTAAAATATTTATTGATACTAAAGTAAGAGGTCACAAGACTTTAGGGCCTAAACTTCTGAGTGCTTTTGACAAGAAGCAGGGACCTGGCTCACACAGTGCCCAAGCCAGCTCATCCCCATCACGCCTTTTCTGGAGCAACTGCAATAGCTGCAGGGAAAGCAGAAGAGAAGTTCTTCCTGTGAAGGCATTCATGTGGTCCTGCTACCTCACATCTAATGTTGTGTACGTCTGCCTTACGTTTGTATCATGGCCTGATGATCTGAATCCCAATGGCTTTGGAGAACACGCAACAATTGAGCTGTGTCTCTTCCCTTAATTTTTCCTTCCTCCACAGGGCTTGTCCTTTCCAATAGTTTAAAGGAAAAGTATTTATTCGCTGAGTGAGGCCTTTTCTTTCTTTCACTTTCTCCCCTTTCTTTCCCAGGGAAAGCACAAATCCTGGCATGTTTCCAGATCTGACATGCTGGCACTTCTCCAGCTGGGGCAGAAGCAGCATGTCCCTTATCCTCAGATTACACGTTTGTCCCGTTTTCCAAAATGCCCAGATGCTGTCGTGGCAAAGCAAGCTGCAGGAGAACCAATTGCTGCCGAAGGGCCTGCAAAACCAGGAGGTGGGTCGGCCCCACCAGCTCTCCCTTGTCTCATATGGGACCCAGTGGGCAAAGCACAGAAACCGAGGATGGCTCAGAGCGAAATGGGGCAGGGGGTGACCTGCAAAGTGCTGGCACTGAAATCTTCACTGCCACTTGGACTGAACATATATATCGGTTACTTTCTTGTCCCCCACACCCCCATGCAGTGTGGCACTTAGATGGCCATATAACACAAACTGCACCTAGACCAAACACAGTCATTCCTCTGGTACACGAACTATAAATAAGTAATTTTTCTAGCATAATTTACGCCCTAGGCTTACACCACACACATGGGAATTTTATTCACATAAGGACGGAAAAAGAACCATCAGTTCCCAACATCTCAGCCAGTGCTTAGATCAAGAAAAGTAAAACGGGCCCCACAGCTTCACAGCCTAATGAATGAGTCATGTGAACAGGCACTTAACAAACCAGTCTCAAAACGAAATTCTGGAAACTAAGTAGCTTGTGGTAGGGCTGTGCTAACCATACCGCATCCTGTATATGCTTCTCTTGGTTTTTCTATTCCTACCAGGAGCAAACATAGGAATTCACTACTGCTCTCTGAATCTTCTACACATTGTGCTGTGCTCTGCTGCATGGTTTGGAGATGCATACCATATGTAGTGCTGGGTACACCATAAACAATACAAACTGAACCTGAAAAGCGATTTACAGCAATCCTTCCTGCTTTCTGCTGGCAGAAAGCACATACATCTTCGTCTGGATCTGAAGCAACACCTGTAACCGTCCTCCTACCCACACACACACTCTTACTGGTCTGGCAGCTGCAGAGACCCACACGCCGAACAGGGAAATACAGTTTCTTCTCTCAGACTTCAGTACTGGGCTGAGAGCTGACCTTCCGAGCCTGTGGCTGATGCGCCCAGTACTCCCAAGAATGGGGAGAGGTGGACGAGTTGATAGAGGTCTACTGGGAATTCTGGTTTCTTGTGGGTGGGTCCTCCTTGCCTAAAAATTGTTCTTTCCTCCTGCCCTGCTTTTACAGCTGGTGTGAACGTCTCCACTACCGGCTTTTTAAGCTAAATGAAGATTGTTTTTCAAGACACAGCCCCATATTAGTAGTGCACTTCTGAGGCACGGTTCATTGCTAGGAGAACACTGAGACACTCACTGTCTTGGGTACAACATTTGAAGACCATCTCTTACATTTTCATAAATATTAACACATCATAATCTACGTACTGGCAAGCACTGAGATGAAATGTCTTGAAGGGATGCTACTGTCAGATAGCAGAGTGTTCCAAATTTAGAAGCAGCAACTTACACAACTCCAGTGGTCTCGTATTATCCTTTAGTTTCATTTTAAGAAAAATACACAATATAGCGCAACAGTATTTGCAACTCAAACATTACCTGAATTTTGGCAGTGCATGGAAGATGTTGAGAAACCAAGATGAACTATGCTGACTTAGTCTGTTCTCAGACAACGCAAGCTGCTGTGTAAAACTATTTAACTGAAATATAACATATACTAGTAATCCACCTCTAGGGCAGACCCTTTGTTTTAGCAACCTGGGTCAAAGCCTTTTGGGAAACGGTGCTTGAAGTTAACTGACTAAACCCATCTAAGGCACCAAATAAATGGCCTGACTTTCAAAAGGGAAGTCCTCAGTGACATACCTAAGCAACAATATTTTAAACTATTTTGAACACATCTTATAGTGGCAACTTTTTTCTTGACCCAGGTGATAAGCTACTGTGCACAGTCCATATTATTCTCCCCTTCTACACATGAACAATCAGACAAGCTTAAAACAAATATTCTCATAGAAAGTTTTATATTTTATACTGCAATGATCCAGCTTACTAATGTTCTCCATCATATATATACAGCAAAAATTAAATATGTTACTTCTGAGGTCTGCAAGTAAGACTTAGAAAGCAAGTAATTTAAACCATGCCTTCACTAAAGGGAGAAAAAAACTAAGCCTTTTTACTACGCCTTTGGTCTGCAGAATGGGAGACTAGCTTCAGGGAAAATGAGTACATTTTGCTAATAGCTGGATCCAATTTAAAAGGCACCAGAAGACAAATTTAAATTACTGAACAAAAGCAAATACTTTGAGATCTTAGAAAATGGGGTGATTTGAAATACAGTAAGAGTTACTGTCCAATAAAATGGAAACTTTATTAAAGGTAGGAGGCATTTGTGATCTTTACAAAACATAGGTTCGGACTCTACTGAAAAAAAATACTTTTTAACACCTTGAATC